AGCAATGAGCGTGTTCGACGTCGCGTATTTGGTGCAGAAAGAGCGAGTGAACCGCTCAGCACCATTATATCACGCACCAGGCTCCGATGGTTGGGCCACGTGTTGCGCATGCCAGCACACCGACTCCCGCGACGTGCATTGTTTGCGCGTTGTGGGTGCGGTTGGAAGAGGAGGAGGGCAGGCCAAGTGATGACTTGGTCGAGAGAAATGAAAACCCTCACTTCGAAGTTGGCGTCGGTTGGCGCATCCCGATTGTCTGGCTGAGGTCCTAAGGATGGTGAACACGTTTGGTTGGACACACTCGCTGATATGGCTTGGAGCCGACCCCAATGGCGTTTGTGTTGTGAGTTCCTTTGTCCATCCCCCTCCAGCTTAGCATCCCCCCTCCAATCATGATCTCACTTGATAGGTATAATGACTCTCTTTTACGGCAGCCAGCTGTTAGCTCTCCGGAATGATGCCCATCCGTTACTGGGGACTCAGCGGGCGTACCACCGTTTGTTTTCCTTTTCTTATCTTTTGTATTGCGGCACAATAGCTGAGGTGTTTTCCACCTCCAGCTAACGTGTAATGATGACGATGATGCTGATGAACAGCGGAATCATTGGGCCGCAGCACAGCTTTCCTTCTGATTCAGGAACCAGATATAACCCTTCCATCTACGTGAGGACTGTCCGTCACCGGCCAGCTTTTTGCGAGACCAGATGGGGAAACCTGATGTAGCTGCCGTGGAAGCACCAATGCAATCGGAATCTAACGATTTCCCACCTTGTTCTCCCCAATGATGTCGAAACGGAGAGACAGTGTATTTGGTCCACAACAAGCAATTCGAAGGTTCCGAATATTAAAAAAGGGAACAATGCGGTGATAGGCGCTGACATATGGTACGGAAAATCGAAGTTGTCACTTAACGTAGAGACAAAACTTTAGCACGCAAACTGGAAACGTAACGCCTTTTTGGGTTTTCAAGATGTTTTGCAGTTTTCAAAAGGTGCTAGAGCGAAATACCAGAAAACCCTGTTAAGAGCAAAACAAAATCAACTTCCCACTAAGCTCGTAGGTCACTGGAATCGACGGTTAGACCCAGTATTCTTGTTAGGCTGGGTGAAGTTTATGGGCTTGGTTGGCGGGTTTCTGCTTGACTTGTTGGTGGTCATATGAGGCGTCTCCTCCATAATCGATTGCGTTGACTCGTCGGCGGCCAGAGGACAGTAGTTGTTGTCCAACTCTAGTTCGACGTAAGCAACTTTGAGACGGTCGTTGGTGACAATTACCCACTTGTCATGACCTTTGATGACGAAGAAATGGTCCTTACACTGAGGACTTTGGACAGACCTTCATAAGGTTAGGGTTAGGGGAACAAAGCATCTACGATGATGTTTTCGTACTGCGGTCGGTTTATTACGGCGCATGCTTGTATCTAGTCTCCGAGCGTAGTGCACATCATAGCGGGGAGCGGTGGGGCTCTCGGAGTAGTCGCATTTGTTGTCCATAAACTAATTCTGCGCTGAACGTTTGCAAATCCGTTTTCTAGCCTGATAGGATGCCGAGGAGTGCGAGTAGCACATTGATGGCACTAAACGAGGCTTTTATCTGCCGGTGGAATCCTTCAACCATGACATCTGTTTGAGGATGCTAGGCAGTGGTTCGGATTCGTTGACAACCGATTGCTTTGAGTGGATCTCTAGAAGTCATATTCGAATTGCGGTCGGTGGTCACAGTGGCTGGACAGCTGGCCCCCGCAGATACATTGAGAATTGGGACACCTTCGGACCAACTAGTAACACAATACACCATGGTCAGTATGTAGAGCATGCCTTTGGACGACGGCAGTGGTCATGCGATGTCGCGGTGAACGTGGGTTGACACTGACAGGAAGCGTTCAATCAGAGCCGCAACGTCTCAATGTACCATTGCTCGCTAGCAAATCAAATAGTCATAGGCCCAGAGTCTGACGTCACGCTATATGTTAGGCCAGACGTATCTGTCGGAAATCGGTTTGACTGAGGTCCGAACACCAGGATGCGCGATGGCGTGCACCGTAACGATAACTTAGAAGAAATGTAGTAGGCACCAGTGGACGTGAATTTTCGGTGGATACGTCGCAGCGTATCGTGTCTGGGGATGGCGGAGGTGGTTTCGGAACTAATTTCATCGTTCCCTTTTCACAAGATACTAGCAAACCCCTCACGGAATTAGCTGGAGCAATACCGGCGCATTTACAATGGCGCCGACCGTCAGTCGCCGGTGAATAACTCTCATCCGTGTCATCTCTGCGGCGATCACCACTCTACCTATATGGATGCTCATCCGGGTACGTGAACAGCATATGCATGAGTTCCAATTGGGTTTCGCTCAGGCCAGGATTTCATAGGTCAAATGTTTCCAATCTTCCAATTTTCGTTTTATATTGACGTTTCCGTCTATCATCAGCCAGTGTCTTCTTAGACACACGAACCATGATTAGTTCAGCCATGTCCCACACCGGAGTTGTTTATTGGGGAGGTCGTCGTCATCATCATCATACACGTTAGCTAGAGGTGGGGAACACCTCAGCTACTGTGCCGCAATACAGAGAAAAAAAGCAACTGGTGCAAGCTGGCTGAGCTACCGGTAACGGATGGGCATCGTTCCGGTAAGCTACCAGCCGGCTACTGTGCACCCAAAAAATTAATATGCAAATTATGTAAGGCTAAATAATGAGATCGTGGTTGGAGGGGGAGGCTAAGAGGGATGGGGTGGGACAAAGAAACTCACAGCACGAACGCCACTGAGGTCGGCTCCTAGCCATATCAGCAAGTGTGTCCAACCAAACGTGTTCATCGTCCTTTGAACCCCAACCAGGGAGCCGAGACGCTCCAACTGAGGCCAGCTCAGAAGTGAGGGCCTTCATTCCTTTCGACCAAGTCATCGCTTGGCCACCTCTCCTCTTCTTCCATCCACACCCGCGGCGCGCAAACAATACACGTCGCGGGAGTCGGTGGGCTGGCATGCGTAACACGTGGCCGAGGCATCGAAGCCTGATGCGTGAAATAACGGTGCTGAGCGGTTCAGTTCCTTTTCCTGTGCCATAAACAAGGCGTCGTACACGCTGGTTGCTCACGCGGTGTTCCCACCAAATGTGAGCTGAATTACGAAGGCACCGGTGGTCGAACGTAACTAGCCTCTTCAGGTCCACTGCTTTAAGCGACCAGGTTTCACAACCGTACAGTAGGGTCGAACATACTGCTGCATTGTACACTCTACCCTTCAGGATGAGAGTGATGTCGCGCCGCCGCCAAAGGTGGCGAAGGTTAGCAAAAGCGCCCCGAGCTATTGCTATACGATTCGTGATTTCATCTTCAATCCCACGGGCGCTGATACAACTTCCCAGGTAGTTGAATTTCCTAACGACTTCTAGCTGATCCCCACCAAGTGTCAGCGTAGGAGGCGGTCCGGACCAATCTTGGAGGAACGCTTTGCACTTCGAGGGTGCGAAGCAAAGCCCGAAATGACGGACAGCTAGTGCTAATCTGTCCAGTGCCGCTTGGTACGTCTGGGAGCTGTCACAGATCAGGGCAATATCATCAGCATACTCTAAGTCAAGAAGTCGTTCTCCTGGGAGTAGCTCCACACCTTCTAAGTCGTGCCCTGCGAATTATTGGGGAGGTACTGTTCAGAAAGTGTGTTAGTGTTCCCCAAACTATGTGTCCTCAAATTTTGAGCCATGTATAACTATCTCGGTGTTTTACACAATCCCACTCCTCCTATTCGACTTCCCTATGATTAACATCCTGTCGAATATTCTACAATTTTCTAGACCCATTAGAATGGAGCTGCTTCTGGTTTTACGGCTTATAGTATGTTGTAATCATCGCTTATTCTTCCCTCTGTGTTCGTCCGAAATATGCCACGTAACTTTTAGATCTTTTTGTCACGGTTTGGAAGGGCTTTCGCCCCTCAAGATGTGAGGTCTTCCTACAGGATTGACCAGGAACTGCCGCCGATCTTGCCCTTTCGGGTTACTTGTTGAAACTAGTCAACGAATTTTTTCAACAGTGCAGACTACTTTTGTTTAGACATTTTAACGGATGACATCTGCGCATTTCTGGAGTTTGGTCTGCTTCCGTTACCTGGGTACCTCTGATATCGGTATGAAAACCGAGTTTACATCGTCACCGTACGAGTAGGGCTACTGCATCTAGCACACTTTCTCAAGCGATGTTTAGAGATTATGTGTTCAATCCCCATTGCGCGCAAGGTGGCAACATGGAATTAGTGATGATGTTCGTCGACGAGTTCTCAAATCAAACAGTTTCACTGCACAGCTCCAGTGGCTTGCGTGTGCTTCACATATAAGCCCCGCGGTTACTCTGCTGTGCTTTCTTTGTGCGCACTGATTGATTTGGAATGGTAACCAGAGGACCAGGGCATGTCTTGGGCTCAATGTGTAAAAGCACAGACAACGATGTCTGTCGTAATGAGTCACTATGCTCTCTCCTCTTAAAGATTAGTTAGTCGCAGGCACGTTTATTTGGAAACGCTTCTTGGAATGTCCGAAAGTCGTAATCACTAATGAAACGTTACAATTCCTCGCATGTACGATTATTTTGTTATCCTACCGTCTCCATTCACATGATGTGGCACTATGCGATTTGTGTTTTTATGGGCATGCCTCTCCACACTGCTTGTGAAATTGGTTATTGAATTTCAACCAACCACTTGGTTATTCATACTTGACTATTAGCCGATGCCAATCCGTTTATGTCTCTGTTAACCACTTATGTAAGGTACACTGAAATGCGTTGGATTCAGTTGACTGATCACCAGTCTATTCGTCTGGTGATCAGCCAGTGCCATCCTGAAATATGCACATCAGGAATCATTAGACATTCTCTTAGCTACTTTTTCTGTTCTGCTTAGCTCCACTGAGCACATTTTTATCGATTCATTTTCCGCGTCACTATGTAATGTTGCTTTATGATTTTCTTTTTAGCGTTTTACATCGTCCTTGCACACTAATGGCTGTTAACGTGCACAGTATGGTTTCTCATCTGATTGTCGATTCGGCGCCGTTTTTGAAACGTACCCGTCTTGAGGTATGTTTCCTCTCTGCTCAATCCCACATCCTCTGCTCAGACTTTTGGTTGCAGAATATATACAACTCCTGGCGTTATAAGCGAATTACGCGATCCACACGTGCGTGAAACTTTAAAGAGCTTACCCTACAAATTACATCTTGAAAGTCCATCTACAGAGGCTCTAAAACTTGGTAATTTCGCGTTTCTTTAATATCATATATTTTCCACTATAGTTACTGCCAAATCGAAGGAGACTGGCGATTTTTCAGTGCTCTCCACCACCGATTTGAACCTCATTGCGCTGACTTATGATTTACACAAGACTCATGTGGGCGACCCAACTCCTAAGCCAGTGGTTCGTGTAATTGTGCTCACCGCTTACTATGTTCGGTTGGTTAGGTCCCTTTGCCTAACGATCTTGGGCAAAAGGCACATACTTTCATATCTGAGTCTTCACGCAAGAATTCTGACAGTGACAATGATACGTCATCTTCGGTAAGCAGTGTAGACGGTGAAGACACAGAAGAAAAGGAAGATGCTGGGCCGATGGCTGAGGAAGATACCGACCTGCCCTCTGAAGCTGACTGGATTACCGAACATAACTTTGAGCAGAAAGCTTTGGACAATTTCGGTCTCGGTGTTCAATCATTCAAGTAATTTAATCCGAACTAACTTGTTCAACTGACAGCGTTATGTCACCCTTTATCTAAGGAACTTAATTTGTTTGCAGTTATTTACCATTAGAATGTTCCCTCACAAACATCACGCTCTCCAGCACTATTAAGCAATTGGTCTGAATATGCGTTTCTGAGAAGTATCCCTATCGCCCTTGCCAAATGCAGTTGACATAGTTTGGATCGTAACGATTGGTCTATAAATCATCTTATGATATCCAGTTGTTTATAACTAATTGGTGTTGTTTACGCCATTTCACCTCGGATTAAGCCGTATGTTTTTACCGCCAATGTTTCTTTTATCATGTAGTTGCTCATCTGAGAATGAAGTGTCGTCGGTCGATAGAATTTCGCGTATATCAGACATAATCACCCTGTATGATTCGCACCAAACGTTCAACTTTTCTGGACCTCGTTACTCGATTCCCGCTGTTGATGGATACCACCTGTTTTTGCAGTGTCAGAAAGGAAGACGTTTTCTGTTGTGTCCACGACATTGCGCGAGGTTCAGCCTAGACTGAACTTCGAGACAGACTACCAGTAGGCGTTCCCCACATTAGATCATCGCGCTTCGTGGGCAAGGCTTATAACAATTCTCGAGCACTCACCATTATCTTGTGTCGTTTGTGAAATGCAGAGTCGGTTTGGAAAATTATGTATTTCAACGCAATGGTCGTCCAGATCACTGGGATCACAAAACCGTTGTGATTATCGTCGCACGCAAAGCCCGGTACTCTTGTAAAGAGGTTATCCGCTATCTAACTCCTCATTCTAGGATTATTTGTCTCACTCATTCCCAACTTACGGTGTTATGTCCTACAAAGACCGATGCAGGCGACTGGGGCTGTACACCTTCTCATATCCCGTTGGCATGAGGAATCTTCGGCTCAAGGTAACTAGTGGTTTTTATCATAGTTGCAGCTGGTTGGTTGGAGCATACGCTGAGCGCTGCAAAGCTCCTCTGTACACCTACTGCTCTACTTGGAGACCGATGTCAATCTTACTTCATTTTCCCTGTTTATTTACATATTTTCACTACCAAGCGGTGTAAACTAGCTTGTGAGACCGCACTAAGACTGGATTTCATTATAGTCTATGTAGGTAATGCTGTGATATCTGTCGTGCATCAGTGTAAGTGTCATGAAGAAGCGGGTTCTCTTTTGTGTTTTCCGGTTGAAACCCGCCACTTTGAAGCGCTCACTGCATCTGCTCAACTCATCTCGTATGTTTGCAAACGATGTTCACGTAGAAGACAATTAAGCCTGTAAACTAGAACGCAACTTCCCAGGTCTCCTGCGGCTTCCGAGACTGGATGAAGTGCGGTGTGCAACCTCAGCATCAGTCTCACATACCTTCTGTCTCTGCGGCGCGTTGTATTTCGTTTTTCTTCAGTTTAAATTTAGTCTACAGGTCCTGACCTTCAGGTCAGGTTACTGGTATGACTTGACCCACCCAATGAAGTGATTATTCGGTAGACTATTTACCGTTTTTACTTGGATGTTGCATATCTCTGTTACCCCTCCCCTCATAGACTGGGTCGACATGCGTGGCGAAGCAGGACAGTTGAAACGCCGCACGACTGTTGGCTCGATTAACAAGGCATCAACAATACGCCGGTACCCAGAACCAACGGTTCTCCACCGCGCGACCACCACCAGTCGCATGTGGGCTAAGAATACCGCGAGGGTCCCCCGGTCCCTTACGAAAGCTCGAAACCGCGTTTTCGGATTACTAGGCAGACTTGGAATCCTTAGGGCTACTGACACACTAATAGACTATACTCAGCTCTCTGCAACAGTGCTGTAGTCAACCACGCTTCTGTCACTCAGTCTGTCGAATGAAACCGAAGTACCCGAGTCACTCCACCTTCACCTGGACGGAGGGCACATGGTGCACCCACATGTACATCCTTCATCGTCTCCGATGCGGTTTTCTGTGGGATACCTTTACAGGGTAATCCTTGCTCTCATTTTATTTCGATTTATCCGGGATTTGTGATGTAGTCACTGTGCTTCTGCAAGTCAGGAACTCGTGTTACTCGGGTTATCACGTCTATGTACCTTCTTTTCCTCACTCTTTTGATAGCACTGAGACTCCCCTCTCCGCGTGTACTGAGGATGACCCACCTCCGGTGGTTGCTTGCCTCACTACCGATTTCGCTATGCAGAATGTACTCTTCCATCTGGGGCTCCAGTTGATCAGTCTGAAGGGAATGCGGATCACCACCCCACGAACTCACCTCTTGTGGTGTGGCTCGTGTTTCCGGTAAGTCAATTTCGATCTTTGTCACTTTCACAAGGTCTTTGTCTAACTTCGCTCACGAACTTGCCTACATGTATTAGGATTTCCGCGTTTCTTCACTGTACTCGAAAGATGACACTGTGTAGACGAATATATAGATCATATATGGCAACTGTTAGGGGACGCAAACCCTTGAGAAATCGGTTGGGCGTATTTTCCAGAAATCTATCTCGATGATTATTTGCTAGTCTCATAGTCTTGCATTTTACTAATGCACTTCTACCAGCAATTTGTGCTATACGGAGCTCAGTGAATGCATTATTTTTCCAGAATTCCGTGTGGTGCTGAGGCGCGGAATGTAATCATACTTTTGACGGCATCAAAGGCATGCTGTTTTCAGACCTGCCGTTGACCCTTTACTATCCGAATTTGGACATCATTATTGCCGCAGATGCCTCTAATTACGAAGTCCGCGCGGTTATATCTCGCCGCTCTCCTGACGGAACTGCGAAGGCAATTTAATTATTCATTTGTACTCCGTGCTTGGCAGCATAAAAAACAATTGAATCGTCAGCCTTAACTACCAGTATTCCGAAGCATTTTGAGAAGGTAATTGTTCATGCCGCCCGATCGTTGACGCCCACAGAACGAAACTACAACAAATTTGAAAAACAAACATTAGCAGTTACCTAAGCTATTAAAAATTTCACAAAGTGCTTTATAGTTGCCATTTTATTCTGGTTACGGATCACAGGCCTCTCCTCTTTAATATCGGTTTCAAGAAGAGCTTTCCCGTGTACTGAACAAACTGTCTTCAGGGTGGGTCATAGTGCTTTTTCGATACGATTTTGAAATCAAATATCAGTCGACTGGGAATATTGGTCAGGCTGGTGTTTTGTCATGGCTCATGGACGTGGATCGACAGAAACCAGAAGAGGTCGTAGCCATCAGTATCTCGATCCAACCTGAAGTTTTTGCGTTGTGCCAGATGCAGTCAGAGCCATCCCAGTAGCAACTCCTCAGATACCTGTTGCAACAGCACGTGACCCTTGTTACAACAAGTGTTTCGCTTCCAATATGATCGAAAACTGTAAACTGAAGCAGTTGCGCCCACGTCGCAATTCCTTGTCGATTGTCGACAACCGTCTACCCTTCACAGAACGAGTAGTGGTTCCAAAGGAACTTCAACCAAGGGTTCTTAGGCAGTTCCACACCGGACACTTGGGAATAACCTGTATGAAGCTATGTTTCCTGGCCTTATTTTGATGCTCAAAGCGACGGACTTGCCCGCTCCTGCTTCAAAGTCGCCAAGTAAGGCAGAGCCCCATTGTTAGTCGGATCCTGAGAAATCATGGTCAGGGCTACATGCCGATTATGTAGAGCCATTGAATGGAAACGATTTCTTTACCCTGGTCAACGCCTACAGTAAATAGTCCAAGGTTCTGCAGATGCCATAGACTACTGCTTCACCAACCATTACTGCACTTCGTCAGATTTTCAGTCGCCTCAGGGATCCATACACATCAGTGACTAACAACGGATCTCTGTTCACTTTAGCGATTCTTCAAGAAAAGCGGCGCGGTTCACATGAGATCACCTCCATAACATCCACATTCGGGCGGCTTAACAGGGTGATTCGTGGACACATTCAGGAGGACATTACTAAATGCGAAGGGGAAGGGACCGACAGCCAAACTCCTCGATACTTTCCTTTTTACCTACAGGGTTGTAAGAGTCAAAACGCTTAGGAACCTCGAGCAGAACGCGCAGTCTCCGGTTGTCCACATTCAACAAGGGCCGGAACAGGTCATGGATCACTGGAAACAAATTTGCGCACCGGAACTGACCCACGATCTCCGGAATAAGTCAACATTCATGTCCGGATTGACTACGATGCTATTAAGATACAATAAATATCAAAAGAAGGCAAATCTCAAACCGTTTCCTCAAGCACAAAAAATGCAAGTAATTTGCTGAGGGAAACCGCGAAGGACCGCCCCAAAGCAAGACACGAGCTGAGTGACTAAACGCGTACACATAAGTCCGGGAGTCAGAAGTCAGGCTGAGGACAGCACAAACTGCACCAATAACGCATTTGCGATTATCGATTGAATATGACGAGATAGACAGGTTTGGGTCACAGGTGTGTGGCTGTCACACGTAGATAGACGGATGAGTTCCTCGGGTAATGCACACAGGGGGTAAGACAGAGGATGAGCATAGCGAGCTTGAGCAATCATTGAGCGTAGACAAGAGGATTAAACTCGGGTGGTTCATCAATGTTCATGTGGTGGTTAAGTGACAAGTAACGCGTTTTATCATGCAAGGTAAAATAAGGAATCAAAGAGTAGTGATTGGTCGTGTTGGGGAGAATCAATAGCGGGGAAATCTCCAGATAGACTGAGCAAATTGATTTCTCCGGCATAAGGACAACTCCAGATCCGCAGGGTGAATCTACCGCTGAAGCATTTATACAACGGAGATTGCGATCCAGTATCACTTTGCTTACACTTGCTGCAAGGAACAGCCTGAACGAAACTGCAAAATGTAACAGCAGTTCAACAGGAGGCACGAACCGCGTTTTCTTCAAGCGGCAATCTGTACTGTCAAAACCTACCGCAATAACCATCTTACTTAGACCCCAGTACGTAATTAGTTATAGTCCCATTTTTTTCGAATGCATCACCAATGGGCAGCACGTTGCTTTTAGACTTGCCCCTCTACACATTCCCCATCGGTCCAGAAGACTCTAAACAGGAGACTCTACTTCCTACGCATATATCGAAATTAGCACCGAGAAGCTGGACGAATCGGTGCCGAAAGCCAATGGCTTAAGCTGCTGGCTAGTTGGCATCTGCCTATAGCGGTCATGGGTTCGATTCTCATTAGAGGACCGAGGGAATGCGCACCACTGACGAGCCCCAGTAGGGTGCCATAGATATAGCGTCTAGTGAGAGGACGTCATCACCTCGCAGGCTAGCCACTGTCAGTGACAGTGGAAGATAGGTGGTGCTATATCCCAGTTAGTTTGCAAATTATGTAGCCCAGCCGACGTCCCCCATGGCTCAGTGACTTAAGCTGCTGGCTAGTTGGCATCTGCCTCTAGCGGTCATGAGTTCGATCCTCATTAGAGGACAGAGGAAATGCACACCACTGATGAGCCCCAGTAGGGCGAAACACGTCTGGGGCTTTTCCGGACTAGGCTGTGCTATGTACGTTGTGAACTATCGGGATGAATACTTTACAAAGATTCTGATTCAGGTGAATCCCAAGCTGAAAACCTACGCAACTCACTTAAAGGGGGGAGATGTTAACAGACGCATACCCTTGCGAAATCGTTTGAGTGCAAATTCTAGCGATGCAGCTCTATGCTGATTTGCTAGTCTCATGGTCATGACACTGGCTAAACCAGTGACATTTTGCTGCACTGTGTATTTTAATGTCGTTTGGTAGATGAACTCTATATAAGTTGATGAAATCCTCATCAATGTGACTAGGTTTTGTCTTCTCGGAAAAAGATATGCCTTTTCAACGTCTTTCGACCTTCGTTTTGAGTCAAGCGTTTGGGCTTGGACGCCGGATCGTTCACTGTTTATAAGAAGCCGCAAAAACAACTCATCACTCTTTGGTAGATTTCGAGTCCCCGGCTTTTAGCTGCTCTTGGGTAAAGTGTATTAGCCCCCTAAAGTTACATGTCCGTTGAACGCCTTCGGCATTACCACCTGTAAAAATAACTACAATAATGATACTATTACTAACAATAATAGCGGATGCTTTGCTCACAGTTGGCACAGGTCCTTTTCCACATGCATGATTATGCCTTTGTATGATTAAGATATACGGAGAGATGGGCGCGTTTTTGTGTCTGTACTCTTGTCACTAATGCAGCATGCAGTTCACCAAAACTTCAATGTACTGAAACACTCCACTCAACACACCTGTGGGACGACAGAGTCGGGAGGAATTTCCAGCTTACTGTAATTCAAGAACATGCGAGGATCAGGGGATAGCAATTAGCATGGGCACCTTGATACTTGGTGTTGGTACTCCACACACCAGCCAACAGGTGGTTTGCTGACCGAAACCTTCGACATAGACTCAACACTTTTATTCTGTTTTACAAAAAATTGTTGTTTCTATAACTTGCTTGCTGATCCACTTAAGTCAAGGCGGGCTGGAGTCCACGTGACCCGCTTCGTGCTTGGTCTGAGATGTTAGAGGACATGGCTGGCAGTCGACACCAGTGACGCGTCTGTTGCCGTCTCCTAGTCGGACTGTCTGTTTAAAGTGTGTTTTGGTGCTGCCTTAGCTGCGGGGTAATGGCTGATTTTGACGCGGGACAGTGAAAGCCGCAAGGAAGCTGTCTCGCCGATGCCGCCTTATTTTTACACGATAGCCAGTTGTTTGTGACGATATGTTGCTAACACAAGATGTAGGCGCCTTGACCCTGAATGTTTGCTTAGGGCATTAAGGTTTTCTCACCCTGTTATTATTCTTCGTTCCGTAGGTCCTTGTGGTTATGCGGCAGGGAGGTATCAGTTCAACTAACTGATGTACTGTTGTTGTTGATGATGATGGTGATCGTGATCGTGTGTTTTGTATGTCTGGGATGGATGAGTATTCGGCTGAAACACATGCTTTCAACAGTGATAACGAAAAAAGGTTCTCATAGACAACAACGAGTAAAAGAACCAGTCTAAGAGATCACCAAAAGGAGCAGTACTACCGAACCCATTCACTTGCTAAGTGAGGAATAACCGGTGGACGATAGGCCCATGTGCCAGCATACATAATTTCGTACTTTATTCTAATCTCCGAATTAGCTTCACTTTGGGATACTGCATCTTACAGTGGTTGACTGTCATCGACGCTTACTTTTTATAGCAGTTTTTTGCGGCAATTGTTATGAACGGCTGCCATGGTGCATCTTCATCCGGGCAAACCTTTCAGTGACGTACCGGTCGACGCGAATGAATCATGACAGTGATGCGTCCAGTGACTTAAAAGCTATTATCTGATAAACCATCAACTCAGGTAGTGAAAGACGGAGAGGGATCACCACACATGAAACGTAAACTGATGACTTTTGTGCGTACTTCGTGCACGTGAATTGACCGTGATGGATTGTGGCACAGGGTAACTCTCGGATGTTTTACTGACAGCTGAGCGTGAACACCAACCGTCGATGTGAGACCGAGAGCACTCTGCGGGGGTCTGCTGGTGGCATTCTCTTATATGGTTAAAAGTGAACCTCGTTGCATCTTGCTGCACTCAACATTAGATTTGGAACAACTTGTATACACATTCATGCAAGCTTGCAACTTGTCTGAGGAGACTGACTAGATGATGCACTCAAGTTCCCTTCAGATATAACTTTCATTAACAGGGCTCTTTAAGGACTTACGTTGAGACAACGTAAGTGGAAAGCGGATTTGGTAACTGTGATGAGTGTCATACTAGGGTGAACGGATGGACCAACCGATGGATCCAGACAGCCCATGGGAGACGGGTGTAATAGAATCGATTACTGAACACGGATTGCTCGGCATGTGTGTGAGTTACTCACCGTTTGTTTAACTGAATCACAGGAGGTACCTCATCGATTCAGAAGGGTCGTTGGTTATGGACGTGAACGCGCAGCTTACATCGAGGAATTTGGTTTGCCCAACATGCCGTTATTTTCACAGAGTTCATCGAATAAACACTTGTCCCTGAAGTTCTGACTTCTGCAGCAGTAACGGAATACGTTCTGGGAGAACTGCGCAGATCTTTTCGTACTAGCAAAATAATCTCCCACCAGGCAAACTTCCTTAAGTCGATTTCCGAAGTCGAGCCAGTCACGCAAAAGCAATTTACAATGCGCACAGCCGGATTGATTCATGGACTGCCTTGTTTTTATTTACCAGTGACAGCAACACGGAGCAGGCCACTACGAATTGTGTGGACCTGCATTTACGATCAGCAGTTGGGAACGCTTACTTTGTGCTCCCTACTCTAGGATCAACTAGTTGAGTGGATCGCCCTATGAGAACACGGACGTACTCATGCCTAAGTCAAGCTAGTTTACAACTTTCGTACGGAATGCTATCGCAATCTCACGCGACCTGATGATGATAGGTTGTCTACCACGCAAGATAGCGTTCATAAGTCTAGCCACATAGATAGTTGTATCAGCGATTAGGTCACGAACCGCATAGCACAGTTTCGGTGTGCGTTTAAAAATCTCCACAACCTATGGCTCCGGCACGACATCAATCTCTTTATAAAGGATAGCATCTACAATGCCGCTGTCCACTCAGCCCTGCTTTAGGACTGCGAAACCTGGCCCGTCGGACCGACAGACTCTAGGAGGCTAATTGCGCTCAATCACAAGTACCTTCGCAGTTTAGCTCATATCTGGTCGGAACAGCGCGTGGGCAATGAGCGTATTCGGTGCCTTGTTTATGATGCAGGAAGAGCACCTGAGCACTGTCATTTCCCGCACGAAAATCAGTAGCTCTTCATTCTGTCTTCCTTTTGGTGTTCACCCCCATTTTCCTGTCAGGGTTGACCAATAAGTATACCCTACCATCCGCAGTTCGACCAAATTTTAATCCTATCGTACTAATTTGTTTTCATACAGCTTTCTGTCTTTCTGCTTCTCCCTCGTCCAGACCCACCAAACGTACGGATACCTACTTCTGCCCTTATTGTGCTCAAGCCAATTTACGACGGATTCCCGTCACTTTGGAAGAGGATGGGCAACTAAAATTCCACTTCTCGCGACGCTTTGTCAAATCCTTACGTGGCTCCAGAGTAAGTAGTTACCCGTTAACACCATCGCTCACTTCGATGGAGTTGTTAGATCATTCAGAAGTACAGGTTCTTGTACCGATTTGCAATTAAATGTCTACATTTGAGAAGCATACGGATCATCACAAACCACAATCAACGACAGCGATGAATTTTTATTACTTTGTTAATGTTTCGCTTTTGCTCAACCCCAAGTAGGTAAAACAACCATCCTAATCAGGTATAGAATGAGGGATGATGAGTGTTGGACGCAAGTTCACAATACTAACATTATAATTCAAGTCACTCCCATCTCCCTCCGACACCGTGTGATCACGGTGATCCTTCATTGAAGGATCTAGGGTAGTGTACTCTTTTGCTGCGATTTAAAGTCCGTTGACAACACGGACGGTTTATATCGTAACGGACTGCGGATTTCTTGGGCGCTGGAATACAGCTTCTGTATTTATTCTGAAGAGCTTGCCACTCGCCTCTTCTCTTCCATCATAAGGCCAATACTGCCGACTGTCCAATCACCCGAAGCGAAGCACAAAATTGAACATGTCAAACTCGCGGTAAATGTCTAGAACAAGTCATAAATCCTAACTCCTTACAGTAGTTCAAAACTGCTGGATTTATATTTCACTACCTTTCGATACAGAGAATGTTTGTACACCGGCAATGAAATCCTACGTTTCTGAGCCGCGAAATTGTAAGTCAGACATATTAAAATGCTACATAGGAAACTTGAAGAACAATCAGATTATCACGGATGATAGATAACTTTTATAATAGTATAGGTAGAAATTCGTCCCATCTAGACTCAATCAGACAGCCGCCACACGCCCGGAAAGTCACTGTACGTGCGTTTCATCCTTTCGGGAAACATCAGCAATGCGCATTCCATCGGACCCTGGTAGGGCTCGAACACGCAACTCAGCTGTTGACAATCCGTGGTTGAGACCACTGAGCTACGGGGGACAGCAAAGACCATCGTGAATAAATTACTAGATGTGATATAGCGCCGAATGAGTCTAGGTGTGACGAATTTCTACCTATGCCATTCAACTCTCCCTACTACTCCTCTGTAATCAGTACGCAGACCAAACTGCTTATAATGCCATAGGTTAATTGGCGGCTTAAGTTTGGTATGTTCGTCGCTTGGTGAGGGGGCTACCCTGTCCTCTGCACGGTAGTAACGTGTAAGTCAGTGGATAGTGAGCGGCGCTATATCACATCTAGTAACTTATTCACGATGGTCGTTGCCGTCCCCCGTAGCTCAGTAGTCTCAACCACGGACTGGCAACGGTGGAGTTGCGGGTTCGAGCCGTACCAGGGTCCAATAGTATGCGCACTGCTGATGATTCCCGAATGGATAAAACGCGCGTACCGTGCTTTTTTCCGGGCGCGTGGTGGCTGCCCGAGTGAGTCTAGATGTGAGGAATTTCTACCTATATCATTCAACTCCCCCTACTACTCCTCTGTAACTTTTATATTTTTGTTTTTATTGCGATTTAATCGTGCAGATTTAAATTTCTCCTTGCTCCCACAACACGGTACTTAGTACATGGAATCTTCCAACCCGGGCCTACCGACTGTCACAGTGCTCCTCTGTCTCACTCCAATAATTCACGCAATTAGGCGAGATATTTAATCTCGTAGCTCGTTCGAACTCATTCTCCTCGTCTATGCATTTTTGCCGCTCTAATCTAGCTCGATGCTCTAGCCATTTCATCCTAAATGTACCCAGTTTGTTCTCACCGCGTTCCTGTCTCTCGCTGTTTCCTAATGCCTTCACCTGTCCACTGCCTTTTAGCAACCCATCAGACGACCCAGAGGGGGTAAACACGCAGACGAACCGATTTATTGCCCAGATCAGCGGCTGCCTGATCGTCGACCAGCCAAGTTGAAAAATCCCGATGTACAATACATTGCGACCAACGGCATTCTTGATGAGTTGGCCGATGAACTGGATAGCATATGTGAATTCGGTGATGGCTCTTCTGCCTTCCCACTTCATGACGTGAATAGTCGCTCCGCACGTGTTGGCATCAGATCCGACCACCAGATTCCCGTTCGAAGTTGGTTTCATCCGAAGGCCGAACACGGACTGAAACCGACTCGTGGAAAGGCTCACATACCGAAACCGAGAACTGGAAACAAGAAAAAGAAGAGGAAGATCTGACCAATTGTCTTGCGAATTTGGCTGTACTTTTACAACTCAATGCACCTGCTAAATTTGTAACAATGGACAATGATTGATCACGAGTAAAAACGCAGATGCCTGACAAGTCTTGTATAATGGTTGCTGTGAAAAATAAACAGATCAAAAGCTAACTGATTCGTCATTTTAAGCGTCAACTGATTTAACTGCACTGCCGCGAATTGACGGTTTGAAATGGGAATTGAATGTGCGCACACAAAGTAAATTGGGGAGCGGTTATAGTTCACGCATTCCGTGAGAAAAGAATAATGGCAGTGACAACGCTCACTCATGTTCAGCTGCCTGCGGCTGACGAAATACGTAAATTCGGTTTCCACAGTAACGGCGTTTATTAAATGATGTGTAAGAAGTACAAATAAGCACGTTGCTTTGTAGTGCTAAGTTGGCGCCCGGACATAAAAGTTTATGTAGCGTAATCTTAGTGCACGAGTGTATCATCGAGACATCTTTTAAATGCTGTCAGTGTGGAGGAAGAACAGCGTAAGTGGGGAGGGCGTTCCAAGGTTGGCAAACACGAAGCGCAAAGAAATTCCGGCGGTATTCCAATCAGCAGCTTTAGCTGGTGACTTCTCAGTGTGATATTGTGATTCGGCTTCAAATGGTATTGACAAACATGGTTTGGATTCCTTAAGACCAAATGTGTCTTTGTCAGATCTCCCCCGAGGCGTTGATATTCGCCATTGTAGTCCCTAAGGGTTTTCTGTCTCAGTTGGTACTGCAAATAAAACAGACCTTCATGATCTTCGTCGTTCTTATGGAATTTTAATTGCTAGGCGTAAATGACATATTCCGAAGAGGGCCTTTATGTATGCGTTGAACATCTAAGTGAAGGTTGAAGTGCCAAAGCGCTCTAATGCTCACCGCAAACGGCCAAGGTGTTGGTTGGACTTTTTGAATGCTTTCTCAGCCTGACGTGAATAGCCGAGATCCCATTGTGCTACCACACCTAGATCGTATCCAGCAGTAGCATGCTTTCCTTTTCAGTTCAGTTGCTCAGCTATGATCCGAGCACCAAAGCGCGGTGGATTCAGTTGCCGCGATTTACATTGCAAGAATAGTGCAAAGTAACAACGGCTATGTAGTGGGGTTGAATGCAAAGAAAATGGGTGCAAGAAGAAAGTGCGTCAAACTTATCAGAATGGAACGGAATGCAGGAACGCCAGTGACCGCCATGTCTGATTCAGTCTCCAGCCTTAGTGTGGGACATCCCGAGGCCCCCATCTACGAAGACGGCACGCATCAGCCTCAATCGATTCCTTCATACCTCTATGCGACGTCGTGGAATGGCCATCTCGCGGCTTCGACCAACTTGGTTCAGCCATAACGTATAATGCACGCCGACGAAGCCTTACAACAGGCATACAGAGGATCTGACCTACTCAACGTAAGCGACTAAGATTCAGCAAACACTCGAGTGGCGCACCAGGAAGTTTCTTTCGAAAAACAAGCTGGCGGACCTCATCATTTCTCACCGGTTGTTCCCACCAGCAATACTCCGCAAGCACCGGTGGCCAAACACGGCCAAGCGCTTAATATCTTCGCCCCAAACTGGCCAGGTTTCTGATCCATACTGTAAGACCGGCCTTATCGCAGTGTTATACACCCTACCTTTCACTGATAGGCTGGTATCTTACCGTCTCTATGGATGGCTGAGCCTCCGGAAAGCTACACGGGGCTTGCCGGTATGCGAACTAACTCCTCAGTGTTGTGGCCACCAGAAGTGACACAACTACCAAGGTAAGTAAACCGATTCACCACTTCCAGTGACTAGTGGGTGATATCTACAACCGATGTGTCGGTCCATTCCCGTAGCAGTACTTTGCACTCTGAAAATGCAAAGCATATTCAAGGCAAGTTAATATAGACTTTATGTACCCGAATGGGTACATTTTCAGCATTTTACAAAAACTAAAGCTGATGGATTAAAATGGCAAATATAAAAATATAAATTTATCGATGGAACTATTGGCATCGGGTGCACAGGCGTATCCCAAATATGGTCCCTGATATATATATATATATATATATATATATATATATATTCCGTAGAATAAGTGAATTATCGGCATTTGCTTTCTGTTATAGTTACAGTGTCGGATCCCAGTCTGTCATTCGTTACAAAAGCGGTTTTGATAAATTTACGCGCGACATCTTGCTGCACCTTTTATAAATCGGCGCAGTCTAGCCTTCATGACCTTGAAATAGTGTAACCGAAGCATATGTCCGTGATATCCGGTGAACACTGTTGCATCCGCGGCACCTAAAGTAAAAGCGGCAA